CCCCCCCCCCCAAAAGAAAAAAAATACACAAAAATTAGAAACAAAAACAAAATTGATGTTTATTAAATTTAACCGAATAATCACCAACAGAACATTCAAGTTATACTTTCAACTTTCAGTGCCTAGCCCCAGCTTCTCAAACTCTAACCCCCTATTGTTCGTAACGTTTTGTTTTGTTTTGTTTTCTAACTAAACCAGTTATTGACTGTAACTTTCAGTACAGCGTTAGTTGCCACAAAGATTAGGGCTTAGATGCCTAACTTCGACATTCGGCCGGAGCCGAGTAATACCGGGTAGCCCAATACACACGAAAACACTGGAATATCATTGTTTTTTTTTCTTTCTTTTATTAATCTATTCAAACCTTTTAAGATAAAACCTTTATTAAACCTGGGATGAATTAATTATTTGTATTTATCTAGAAAACTTTCTTCAGCTTTATGTCCGCAGTCATGTTTAACACTTGGTTAAAGAACTATCACGTCTTAAGAAATAAAACTCCGATTTTCTTCTAATTTTCTTGGCAACTTTTCAACAAATTCAAAATCATCTCTAATAAGACTAGAAATGCGAGACAAAAAAAAAAAAAAGTTTGAACAATATGTCTAAGAGGTCACTTAAATGTTCAGTAATTTTGTGATTTTCTCCTACAATCGGTCTTCCTGGAATATTGGGAATAGATCCACTTTTTGTTTCGAACAATAATCCATTAATCTGTTTTGATTTATGGATTTTAAGAATTACATAAAAATACTCTATTTCTGAATTACTTAAAATAAAATCTTTTTTTTTTGTTGTTGCTAATATCACCTTAGATTCATCAACAAAATTCTTTAGTTTTTCTTTTCTGAAAGTTGTACATCTCAGTATACTTAAACTTCCCATTTTTGGTAAATCTTTGTATCTAATGTCTGTCTGTCTCACGCTCTGCATCTCGTGAACTAGTAACCGTAGAAAATATCTATATATTTATATCAAGATGCTTATTTTTAATGAGTATATTGCAGAAAAATTATTAATTTTTTTGCCTTTCCTAAAATTACATAACCAAATTAACATCCATCCGTCAGTCTTCGTATGTGCTGAGCGGTCAATATGAGAAAAGGCCTAATAAGAACAAAAATGTTTCTTTTTGTGAAGGAATTTCACGAAAAAAACGGGACTTCCTGGTTTAAAGAACTATTTCGAAGATAGAACCATGAACGGAACAAGCATAAAGAGGAACGTGTTTGAGTATATAACAAACACACACACATTGTTTCAACGAGCATCTGCTAGTTCAAAAATAAAACAATAAACACGATCTTTAATTCTATAAATTATAAACAAGTCTTAGGGCTTCAAAAAGACAATTATAATCAAATCTCTAGCCAATCAAGTTTCTTTATAAAAAAACGTATTGTACCTGCAAATTAGACAGTAGACCATCAAACAATAATAACCGATATAATGTTTACACGTGGTCAGTATATTAATAAAAAAAAAGAGGCTAAACACATATTAGGAATTTCCAGCACAAAACTGGGAGCAAGCATCCACCTGTCCAAAAAGCACGTGCTATAAAGCACGAGCCTTGCATCGCCCGGTGGTAATGAGTTAAAAGCGCCGGTCAACACTTTACGAGAGGAATGCGTTTCCGTAAACAAGTCCATCCATACGAAATGAATATTGATTTATACACAAAACCCAAACTGTTTGCGTGAAGACCGAGCCACGTGGAACTCGCGCGGGTACAGGAGTGTGATCTACAGTAATAAATCTGTTAAAACCGTTCCAGCTTCTCCTTGGATGTAACACCAAATAACTTGCCTATATTTTTAACTGAAAACTATTTTCGGTGGCGAATCACATTCAAGAACGCAGTTTGGAATGCAGCGTATTCATTACAGAAGCCGTTTTATTACGTATGGGAAATACGTTTTAAACGCCCCACAAATGTGTGGTAAATACGGTCACATCATTCACGTTTCTGGCACATATGATTGCTTAGGCACAAAGTTTTCACATTCCACCAAATAACCAGTGTTTCCCCCAGCAATTGAAAGAAGAGGGGAGGTGTTCGAATTTTAAGGGGGAGGGGGAAGAGGTGAAGGCCGAGAGTAGGCTGTATGGCACTATAGTAAAAACTGAAAAATGTTTCATCCCCATTTTATCAAGCGAATAACTTCCGTAATTAAATGTCAATACTATCCCAATTCGCTGTTTGAAAACTGTTATCTATCGAAAAAAAACAGCAAAGGGTCAAATTATATTACACAACTAAATTTCCAGCCAATACAAAATGATTTTGTTTTTCTAAGTATATTTTTTTTTAAACAACCAGATCTATTGTGAAAGCGACTAAATTGGGAATTGGCAACACTACACGAGACTAACTGACCAATGGTGGGAGATGATGGGAAAGTTCAAGGGGGGGGGGGAGTAAGAACATCCTTGATAATTACACAATGCATTTCTGAAGTTTATTAATTATCGTGGCCATTATAACATTCACAGAAAGCATTATAGTAGTTACTATGGTATATTGCTTCCCAGTCTATTACGGTGGTCGTTTTTTTTGTTGTTTTTTTCAGGTTAAGTTTTATTGTGGTTTGCTTATTTTCGAACAAAGGCCCACATTGCATCATCTGCAGTTTCCTCTGCGGGGAATCGAACTCCGGATTTTGCGTTGTAAGTCTGTAAACTTACTGCTGTCCCACCGGAAGTATTAGTTTCTTCGCATGCACTGACCGTTCGTCAAAAATAGTATGCCTGAAGTAGAATTATGAAATTAAAATATTGCCAGTCATTTTGTTACTGTATTTGCCCAAATATAATGCGCACTTTTTTTCCCTCCAAATATCTCCCGAAAAATTGACTGCGCATTATATTTTGTTAGGTATTTTACTAGAAGCTACCACCGAAAATTATTAAAGGTTTCAAAAAAAATCTTGCATATCCATTGCAATGAATGGGATGGGTGATGAAGCAAAGGTTCAAGAAAGCAAGTCTGATGAAGGCGATGAATCCAATGGTAGTGACAATTCTAGTGATAAAACAACAAAATTTCTTCAATTTAGCCTTTCAAAATTTGGTGCACATTATATTCGGGCAAATACGGTACGTTGTCAAAGTCATACAGTCATTATAAGTACACACTCCCGGTCATTATATGTTGCTAATATTTACGTATGGTTCTAATAATATGTAGCAATATTGCTAGTAATTTATTCTTAAAATCCTTTATCAATAAAAGGCTTACGGGGGTGAGTAATAGACAACTAAAAACATTATAGATCTATTTAAATAAATCAATATGTCTGTATATCTGTTCCTTATACGTCTCCAAATTTCTTGATCAATCAGCACCAAACTTGACATAGTGATACAGGATGATACGAGGAAGGTCGTGAGGGGATTGGATACCTTATCTAATTTCATATTGATAAAATTCTTGAAAACAAGTATTGGTACCTTTATGTATTTTATTGCACTTTTAATGGTTATTACGTTAAAAAAAATTAAAGCACGATTTCCTACCTTTTGTTACAAACGAGTTTTTTTTTCATCCTTCCAACGAACGGGTACTTCAGCTAGGATAATATACAGTTCATCACTAAAAGAGGCCTTGCCTTGTTGTTTTCGATTTGCACAGATTTGTTTACTAATTAGGAATGGAATTCCCTGAAACCGATATAACTCAGTGAAATATGGTGAATCGAATAACAGATTGAGCTTCATATTTATGATTAAATCCGAGAATTCATAGTTCACGTCCCGCTGCCCACTTTGAGCAATGTGTCTGGTAACTTGTAAAAGTGGCAGACAACTCCCAGTATTCGGTCAGATAAGAGGAGCCCAAACGTTGGCGGTGGCTGCTATTTGCCATCTTCCTTATAGTCTGTCAGTTTAAAATTAGTGACGGCTATGAGCAGAAAGTATTGGGTAGCTTTGTATACGAAAATTTTAAAATAAACGAACTATACGCGAGCCCAAAGACCTAAAGTGGACGAGTCTATGGTATTCATTAAACTGGGAATGAAAATACTTTACTAATAATATACAGAAGATGAAGGGCTTAGGCCCTAGAGATTCGGCGTTGTTGATTTGTTTACAAATTAGGTTGAACTTTGGAAACTGATTTTTGTTTCGTATCTGGAGTTTATTCTTCTAAAGACTATATCTAATATAAATGCACATTAATATCATGTGGATACTAACCACAGCAGCCACAGTTTGTGCAGCCGCCGGAAAAAACGCGAATTCGAAATTCAATATAAAAGCATTAATGAATCAGCGAAAAAACAATGTGTTCGTCTCTCTCTCTCTCTCTCATATATATTTAGATATATAGTTAGACAGATAAATAATGACGATAGTGATGATACGCTGGTTACATTACTGAATCTATGAACAGACCTGCTATTATGATTATCATAGCTACAAATTTAAGTAAGTCCTTATAAAAGTCACTGTATAATACATGATAAAAGGAAGTAATCCCAGGTTGTAGAGCCCGAAACAAAAAGCAAATGCCCCTGTATACTTACATGAATGGAGACACTCAATTATCGTGGTAGCGTCTACAAAATATCCGCCGCACAGCACACAAGTTAAGTACGGGTTGACTTCCAGTACACGCAGCCCGGAAGGTTGGTACATGTTGCGGATCGGTGGGGAGGAAGGCCCAACTTCGGCCTCTATAAACGAAATAATACCAGGTTTATGAGACTATTAAATACGTAAAGTGCTACTTTGTTGGTAAAATCAACAAGTCAAAGTATAAAAGACGTCTTGAAAACTGTTACAAAATGGATCCTGTCACAGGAAAAACGTCAAAGTGTGTTTTTAGAGTTAGGAACGTAGTTTCTGTCAGTATTAGAAATGTCTAAACAGAAACACTGTGAAAGCAAATAAAAAACATATGTCTAAAGTTTGATTTTACAATAATAAATGAATTATACAACAAAACAGGTCACGAAGAATTACAAATTTACAGAAAGCTCGATTTTAGAATACAAGAAATGCATTGTTTTATTCATAACAAAACTTGCCTTGTAGAATTACAAATGTCCAAAAGGCTATACTAAGCTAGACAATTGTTAAACAGAAAGTTGGCAAAATGCTTTTAGAGATGAAGTCTTGTAAAACGCGAAAAAACAACAACAACTGTAATATGAAAATTTTCAAACAATGAAATTCCTTGTGTAGTGTTTTCATAATTCTTCATTTAGTTGCGCTGAGAATCCATAAAAAGCCGTGTGTTTGTTTGTAAATATTTTTTATACTAAAAATTTCTAATTGTACTTGTCATAGGACATCAATATTAGGCCCATTACATTTTTAAACACTATATTCTTTATTTTGTTCCTATCAGATTTTCAAGAACTGTGTAATAATAGTATTCCATCCAAACCATGTTTCCCACGTGTCAGCCATTGGCGGCAACGCGTTTCTTTCAATCCGGAACTCTTCAGTCTGGTAGGGATACAACAAACATTATAATGTTCGGGACACTATCTATACAAGCCTAATACTAATTATAACCATGTTTCGCCAGCTTGTAAAAGGCGTTCACAATATAACTACTAATTTCTACTTACATTTTTCAGTCTCATTCATTTGGATATTAAAATTTTACCCTAGAATGAAAGTTGAGTTACGTGCTTCCAAACGTATCACGAGAGGTTCACGAGATAATTAATTACTTATACGTTATAAACACAATTAATTATCAACTAAAGAATACGTTCTTAAAGCTTACCACGTTATACAATTTCGTTTCTTGCTGAAAAATGGTAGCAGCTGCATGGTAATATTTTCTCATCACATTTTGCAAAGTGACATTCAGGGTTAGAGAATTTTAAAACGTGTTATTACTGTTACAAACTCTTACAACCAATGTAATTGTCGAAAAAAAAATACTTCTGCTGTCGAAATCCTCACTATTTACGCCAACATTGAAACTCGCGAAAGATCCAAGCTCCACAAAACGAACCAGCTGATTCCAAACTCCACTCACTGAAGCACGTGGCTACCACTCCCATCTCTAGGTTAGACGCTAAAACTGGCATTGTGCCAGCTGACGTTAAACACTCTAAACTAGTTCGCCCTGCTTGCCTGTAGGTTGGTCCTCCACATTCACTTACGTTTTGGAACGAATTTGAATAAATAACTGCTTCTCTTATATACACAGTGCGCTGGCCTGTCTAGCCACTAACCAGTCACCCTCAAGCTTATTTCTGGATTTCACGCTGCAATCCAGCAATTAGACCAATCGATTTCCAACACACTAACCGGGAAAGTAAATCTTTGAGGTGAAACTGTTTTGCTCAGTTTTCACGGTCAATTACTCCACAGATTCAAATAAATAATAACACCTAAATAGTTTACTTCCCGTAGATTTGTGTTTACACGTGAAATCAGAACGATAAATAACACGATGATATTCAATATTTCTCTGTTAGATAGGGTTTATTATGAGCAATGTTGGTTGATGTCTTCTAATAACTCGTTTTGTTCCATTCTTTGTTTCTCTTTCCAGCAAATGTAGAGGAGTTGCCTGGTTTTCACTTCTGTCAATTTACGGTCAACAGTTCCCTTGTAGGGTGTCATATATTCTCTCGTAAACGAGAAGTGTTTATATACTGTATCATTTTCTTTACAATAAATCCAATGCGTTTGAACTTTTTTATCTGTGCCGTTATTGACACATTCAAAGGTAAATCCTGATTTATGATATATCCAGCTATTCTCTAGTGAAAGTTACGTTTAAATAATATTTGTACAAGCCATCTCTGTCACTGAATTATCTGGGAAAATATCAGTTATTTTTTATGTACTCCTGGCACAAGAAATTACTCTACAGTGTTACTTTAAAACTGAGACTTGATAACAAATCTATAGAATATAACACTTCAACACGTGATGCAAGAAACTACACTGTTCGCACGCTTTACATTCAAGATACTAGAGACGTTGTTATTTTAATTACACCCATTAAACACACACACACACACACACACATATATATATAAATAATGCTTGTCAAGGATTTAATTTTACTTACTTGTATAAATTAAGGCCCGGTATTGTACTCACACATACAAAGTTCACCTTTGACCAACATTGGGGTGGTACTAGGAGTTTAAAGATAAATTATCCAAGTAAATAGTATTGGATGAAAAATAGAAGTACGTTTAAGTAATATTGGATCCGAGATAATCGTAACGCATGTAAAAAAATATTTGGTTTTAATGTTTTACATGTAAGTAATGTTGGGTCAAAAGTAAATATTGTAGATATATAAAATGGGTTTAACTGATATAAACGTTGCATTTGTATAATATTGGGTCAAAATCAAGTTAAACGTGTAAATAATATTGGGTCAAAATCAAGTTAAACGTGTAAATAATGTTGGGTCAAAATCAAGATCAACGTGTAAATAATGTTTGGTCAAAGTCAAGTTCAACGTGTAAATAATGTTTGGTTTAAGATAACGTTAGACATGTAAAAAACATGTTTTGTTTACTTTCCATCCAAACATATCGAATAATATATAATAATGAACCTGATATTTTTTACATCTACAATTCTTACCTTAAACAAAATTGCATCTATATACAAGTTTTGGATCTTTTCCGTTTGGTGCCCACCCAATATCCCGAATGTGGAAGTTTATTTTTACCGGCATGAAACTGTAAATTACAGTGAAAATTTTGTAGATCCTGAAACTTGCAGCCATACCCAATATATTGAAAGTATGTGACACAGTTTAAAGCGAAGAAATAAGCGTCAGTGAGGAACTCGTCGCTAAATGTTTTACTCTTATATTTGTGAATTTATATGAAGAAATAGAAAAAAAAAAAGATGAAGATTTATTCAATAAAACATTGTCTAATATCGCAGAGTTCGCTAAATAAATATCATATAATGTTTTATTATTAATTATTTTATTTTATTGCATTACTGGTGTTATTTTCAAAACAATCTTTTGGTGGGCACCAAACGGAAAAGACCCCAAGTTTTTACTATAAACTCAGTTATATATTTCTGTAATTAACTATTTCCTAAAACCAAGAGTTTTATATTTATATCGTTTGTTTCAGACCCATTTCTATTTACACGAAGGACATTAACCTTTGACCTAAACTTATTTACATTTATAATGCACGCCTTTGACCGAATTTAAGTGCAAATTCTAACATTATTTCAATGTGTAAGGTTTATTTTTCAATTCGATATATTCACAAGAATGACGATTACTTTAAATCTCACAATAGATAAATACAGACGTGTCAACCCATGGGGTGATTATGCTAATGAGTGAGATCAGATTTATTTCAAGAATCTGTATGCACAGTATGGGTCAGCGAGTTATTTAACAATGTTTCGATCCCTAGCCTTTCCTCAGTTGTACTTTCTAATATATTGCCATTAGCAACGTTGTTGAATAAATCACATTCTAGATTAACGTCTTTCTAGCGTTATCATTTCTACATACAGTAGTTGATGTCCATTATGAGTTCTTGCAAGTCGTGTTGTGTTTAACCGTAGCAGTCTACAATTTTTTTCGTTTCTGGATTTTCGCGAAAAGCTACTCGTAATTTTGAAGTGACAGACTAGAGGAAAGGGTGGGCATGTTTGGGGATTCGAACCCGCGACCCGCAGATTGTGAGTCGATCGCCCTAACCACCAGAAATGTTAATGACAATAAAGATATTACCTCTACTTAAGTTTGTGGACTTCTACTGCAAGAAACCGGGTTTCGATACCCGTGGTGGGTAGAGCATAGATAGCCCTTTGTGTAGCTTTGTGTTTATTAACAATCAACATTACTTCTACTACAGTTTTCCGGGATATGAATGCGATTTAAAAACGGCATACCAACCACTATTAGGCTTATCAATCGCAAGATGAAGGTTTGAGAATTTTGTGGAGCTTTTTTGTGTTACATTACTTCTAAAAACATATCAGACATTTTTCATGGTTCTGCATTAATAAGCAAAATACAAATCAACACTAAATAAAACCCTTCGTACTTTTGATCATGCGCAAAACGTGTTCAATAACCTACTATTACGTCATGAGGTCGTCAACGTTCAGGAGCGAAAAATAAATCAAAGATGACGATGTAGAATATGAAAAATATCAATGTTCCGTATAAGCAACAGATCACGAATTATATAATTTTACATAAACACAAGCAAAGGAAGACAAAGTTAGCCACGAAAGCTAAAGTGCATGCATGTGAAACCTGAATGGTAATTGTATGAGATCAAGGGATATGAACCCCAGAAAAATGTGGCATTTACGCACTCCAAATAGAGCAATTTATAAAACATAAATCTTAAAACACGAGAATTACTAACGGTTATTAAACTGCCCTCAGCAGACATAGAAAAGAGTGGGTACTAGCCCTCTCTTGCCCCCACGATTCCCGCGCCTATGCTATTCAAATAAAAAGTTAAATTTGATGTTTTTCTCAAAGAAATAATGATTAATCATAGCCAGGTATAATCTATAACATAAATATCGTCTACAGACAACGGATGTCAAATTTTGATTTAATCGAAGAAACGTTCCTATATAACTAACTGAACTTTTCGTGAAAACACTGTTCAGAATAGGGAAGATTTATTTATTACAATCAAGATTATCATAAGGTACGTAATAAGTTTCTAGAGAAGAGTCGTCACAG